CCTATCAGCTGAGATCTGGTTGGGAAAACAGAAACCACTCTAGGTATTTCACACTGGAAGAGATTTCATTTAAGGGATTAGGTTCTTAAAGAATTAGCTGTGCTAGGGGAGCAAAGACAAGGGAAGGCCACCAGTCAGGTTTGCCACAATTTTTTGAATGTTAACACATTGCAAGTACTAAAGGAAACAGCTAGAGGACCTCAGGCTGCCTGCAGCATCTGAGTAATGATTTGTGGGGAAATGCCTGAGGCCACTCGAAGATCTTCTGACCGCTGAATTCCATGCTTTTCTTCCCATCACTGCCCGAGCAGCAGTAACACAGCTTGTTTCTCTCACCTTCTTGGTTTCATGTCAGTGACTTCTCAGAGTCAACAAGGAACATTATTAAAAGGAGATTGTATGAATGTTCTTCCCAGGCTTTTACCCCCTGCAACATAGGGAAGAGTCTGGAAATGGGGAATGGTGCTGAGTGGCGAATAGACCCTCTGGGACAGTGATCTCTAGGACCATGTGGGATCCACTCCACTGCCTTTCTCCAGCTTTGGCTGTCTTATTCTTCTCTACTGTTCACCCTGATTCCGCCCTACTAGACCCCAAATTTCAGACCTGTTAGAGTGTGTGTTCTTAGAGGCCTCAAACAACTGACATTTCCTATCTCATAGTTTCTGTGGCTTAGCGATTTAGGAGAAACTAATCTGGTGGTTTCAGATCAGGGTCTCTCATTGGGCTTCAGTCATCTGAAGGCTTGACTGGAGCTGGAGGATCCCCCTCTAAGATGGCTCTCCCACAAGCCTGGTGGTGGGATGCCTTAATTCCTTGCTACAACATGGGCCGCTTGTTAGGACTGATTGAGTTGTCCTCACAGGATGGCAGCTTTTTCCAGACCAAGTAATCCTAGAGAGAGACCAAGGAGGTGACTACAAGAGTGCTTTAACTCCCTTGTTCTGGGAGCAATTTGCCTAGTGCCTCAGGTCTGGTACCCCAGAAGCAGAACATGAGATGAGGATTTTTGGGAAGTGATACATGAGATATGCGAAATAAATATCTGTATAATTGAATAACTGAACAAACCCTTCTTCTGGTGGAGAATCCAGATGCTTAGCCTTCCTGGGCCTGTGTCCATTTCTGGGGGAGCTAGCTGGGCAGGGACCATATTGTCCCATCAGTCATGGGAATGGGTGAAATCCCAGAACAGATCTCTACATTTGGAGTGGCAACACCTTCTAAGTCCATGTAACTCATACAGGCTTTTTCCTTGCAAAATTAGGATGAAACTGTATTTCTTATTTGTGGATAGGGAATTATTGATATTAAAATATGAGATATATATTTTTAAAAGGAACCTTATCTGGAGTTTCAGTGAGCTCTTGGCTAAAAGTACATTTTTCTTGCCTTGCCACATCCTGGTTGGGTACCTGTTACATGGTGAGCCATGATGGAAGGACTGCCATTTGTTCTAGTAATTGTAATCCCTGGGATTCAGGCATTGGATTTCAGTTCAGCCGATCAGAACTTTCAGACAAGATTTGTCCATATTGATAGAGTTGTTCCCTACTTTAATATATGGAGGGAAAAGAGAGTTACTGAGGCTCTCCTGTTTCATGGGTTATCATTCTGTCCAAGTTGTTACCTTAGAAAAGTCTGAAGAAATAGCAAAGAAATCTCCCCAGTTTGTTCTGCTTTCCAGGTGCTAAACCTTACACTATTTTCCTGAGGGAAAGTGAAATAGTTTCTTTCAAAGAGGGGCTTTTGTAGCTCTAAATCTCATCTTTAGTTGTTGCTTTTTTTTTTTAAACCACAAAGTTAGTTTTTTTTCCTCATCTCTTTTCCTGGGATAATGTCTGGCTCTGGTGAAGCTTTGCTTTTCTGGCATCTTCGAGACTCCTGTGCTCCAGGCCCCAGGAGATTTCACTCCTCTGAATGGTCAGTAGATGGACTCATTGAGAATCAGTTATGGAGTGGGGAGGGGAGGTCTTCATGTTCCTCCCTGTGCGGTTGGTGGTTGGATTCTACCTTGCAGAACCAAGGAGCTCTTTGTTCTCGGTGGTAGAGCAAGAAAACCTAGGCCTTTGGATGCGATTTCAGGAAGGTAGATCTATAAATGGAAAAAAAATTATCAGACATTTTTCACAACTGCTTTTTCATCCTTCCCAACTCCCACTCTATTGCTCTTTGGGTTTTTAGAGCTGTGTCAGAGAAAGCAGAGACAATGACAGTAGCCACGTCCTACTTTTGCTGTGCTCAGAATCCTTATTTTTGTTGAAAAAAGGGTCTGATTTATTGTTTCCCTCAGTATTTCCACAAGAGGGAGACTGCTTGTCTCCTCAGGAAAGGGAACATGAGGGCAAACATTTCTCTGCCTGATGATGGAGGGGAGCTGAGCAGGTGAAAGGCGGGGAGACTGGTCCATCACTCCTTTTCTCTCTGGCTGGCTGGCAGGATGTGTCATTGCATACCTGTGGTCCTGCAGAGGACTGCATGTATAGACTTGAGGCCAGAACACTGGTGTTCCAAGCAACAGATTTGCGGATGGAAGAGGCAAGAAGGGGCATCAGGTCCCAGTTGTGTTCTTCTATAAGGTCAGGGGAATCCCTGCATTTGGGAGATTGTTAGCCATCAAAAAAGCTGACATTGGGCCTGTGCATCTTTTTTTCTTCCCTCCCTCCCTCCCTCCTTTCTTTCTTTCTTTCTTTCTTTCTTTATTTATTTATTTTTTGAGGGGGAGAGAGAGAGAATCCCAGGTAGGCCCCATGCCCAGTGAGGAGCCGGTCACTGGGCTTGATCTCAGGACCCTAGGACTATGAGCTGAGCCAAAATCAAGAGTGGGGCACTTAACTGACAGTGTCCCTCAGGAGCGCCTGGGCCTGTGGTCTTGAAATATGACCCCATTTGTCAGAACCCCCAGGAGAGTTGCCTGAACTCTTATATTCCCTTTACTCTTGACCAGGAATGGCTCCCAGATAGCTTTGCACGGCTATTGCCTGGGTGGTTCAAAACTCAGTGTGCCTGAAAGTGAGTTCCCCTTACATCTGCTTCTCTGCTGGTTCTTCTCTTGGGCTAGGCCTCTGCATGGTGGTGGTATCCTAACTGGAGCTTCCTTTCTCACCATCCGTATGCACTGCCCCTCTCGCTGGCTGCTCTCTGCTTATCACTCAGGTCTTAGCTGTGACATCACCTTCGCCCAAGTCTTTGCTGACCAACACGGCCTGGGTGTTCCTGGAGCCCCCATACTTCCTCACCAAAGTCTGAATTCTACCAAAGCATGTTTTCCCTGTCATTTCTTTGCTTTTTCCACTAGACTTCAAGCTTATGTAAGAAAGGTCTAAGTATTATTTATCTTGAATACCAGCTCTAGCACGGGGCCTGCCTGCTTTAGCTGGTCAGTTAATGTTTCTTGAACGAGTACCACTCGGGCCCAAGAAGAGTGCCTGAGACTGTGAAGCTTAGTGGTCACAAGCCCACCGTTGGAACTGGAGGCCTGGGTTTGGACCCTGCTGTTTGTGTGACCTTGGGGGAGTTCCTCAGCTTCTTGATCCTCAGCTTCTTCACCAATAAGATGGGGGTGATAACTGTTTCCTAGGGCTGTGATGATGAAATGCTTTCATTCATGCAGAACACCTGGAGAACTGTGGGACACAGTGTTTGTTTTTTCAGATAGCTGTTGACAACAGCAGCAATGCAGTGATCCTTAATGGGAAGGAGAAGGCCATAAGCAAAATGTTGAATGAGAAGTCAGGCATGTGGAGTGCCTGCATAATGGGTTTGGAGAGGTGGAGAGATGGTTGGGAACCGAGGTTTCTAGCTAGGGCAATGCAGATGGAAGAGCAGATAGGATTACTCTGGGAAAGGATTAATGGCGGTAGGAGGAATAGGAGAACCAAAGACAGAACCTTGAGAAATCCTACCTCTCAGGGATAAGAGGAGTCAAAACAGGAGAGAGAGAGAATAATTACCAGTAGGAGACTGCAATGCATCAGATGCCAGGGACAGGAGTTTTAAAAAGATAGTCAGGGGTGCTGTGCTGGGCAGAAGTCTTGGGAGAAAACTAGAAGAGGCAGCAAGAATCCAGTAAATGGGGGAGCATTAGTGCCCTTGTGTGTTTCAGTAGAGGCAGAGGAAGGACGAAGTCAGGCTCTGTGAGGAGTTAGAGAAGGCCAGGTTGGGGACAGAATGGACACACCAAGGATGATTGTTGTGCTGCAGATGTGTAGGACTTTGTGGGTAGAGGTCTGATGTTACTATAATGAGGAAGTCACGTTAGTTTGTACGGAGGCTTTTTTCTTTGCATGTTAATACTTTGCATTGCTGGCTAATAGCAACTGAGTGTAGCAGGCCTCCTGGAGACGGAGAGCAGCACATGGCGCCTGGTGTCCTGGTGCTCTCCTGCTTGGTTTTGTGGAACGTGCTACGTCTTGAAGGGCTTTGGGGGCAGTCCTCGCCAATCTTTATGCGTTTGTTCACTGATTCCATGCCACTTGGTAGCCTCAGCCTTTCTGCTTACCCCTTCCATCATGCTCTCCCACCCCTACATTTTTAAGGTAAAGAGTCCTATCTCTTAGAGTGTTTTTCTTAGGTATTTAATATTTTTTCAAGTTTCAGTGTTGTGTTTTTGTTGTTGTTATGGTTACTATTTTTGTTAGTGCTTGCGTTAAAATTTTAATTCATTTCTTTCCCAGCCCTTTTTTTTTCCTGATAAGCCTTATTTGTTTATTTATTTTAGTTTGAGCTTATAAAACATTCATTTTTAGCAATACCTACGTGTAGTTATGGACAACATTACCATGACCCCTTTTCCTAAGATTGAACATGATGGAAGGGGCATGAGAGGGAGTGGCAGGGTCTAGGGAAGGTTTTCTCAAGGATCCAAAGACTTGACCATGCTTGGCAGCAAAGTGGTCTGAATTGGCTTCCACTGAGTGACATTTCCTAGGTGCTCTCCATTATATATTTAGGTGGTTATGTTTTTGCATTTTTATTTTCTGTATGATATTTTGCTACAGTCTGAACAAGCGTCTGAGACCGAAATACACCCCCAGCTGAACAGAACCCCCTCTCAAGCTGCAGACAGTAGTCCAACCAAGAAGGTAAGGCCTATGGGAAGGTGCCTCTGTGATAGCATTGTACGTGCCCCCCCCCGGTGCCCCCACCTGGGCTTCTTGGCTCTCTTTGCAAATCTGTTTTACTTTGATTTCAGTGTCCTGACCTGAATGTTAATGATCCTGCTTTCCTAGAACTTGGGTTCTTTGTGAGGATTGGGGTGCTGATGGTTCTTGGGCCTGCCCTTGATGTCACTGACAGTTTGCACTTCCTCTTCAGCCTCCAGCTAAACATGGAGGCCTTGTTTTTAACAAGTTCAGGAGGTACAGTAGGGAGGGCCAAGTGCCTTTAGCAAAACTCTGTGTACTGCTGAGCCTCTAGGAGGGCCTGTGGTGGGGGGCGGGGTAGTCTGCCCTTCTTCCTCTGTGTGCCACAGTCCGTCCTTGCATCCCGGCGTCTTCACCTTAACCCCCCAGTGTCACTGAGTCCCAGGTCACTTACTCAGGAGGCGCTACTCAGTTGCCATGCTCTCTCTCCACCTTGTTACCCTCTCCTTGCTGCTCTCCCATTTTTCTAAGGCCGTCCTCTGCTCAGAGCATGGGCCCTGGGCTGGGGAGCACAGGTGAGGAGGGGCCTCCCAGACAGGCTGGCTGTCTCCTTCGAGAAAACTCTGTGGCCCTTGAGCTTGCCTTCAAATATGAATTGGAATGGAGGAATGAGGAGACCTTCACAAACTTCAAAACTCACAACATATTCCCGTAAGCCCCAAAGTGAGATGAGTCTGCTCACAAAGTGAGCTTTGTCTGCAGTCAGAAGAGGCCTCATGCTGTGAGATGCACACAGCACTGAAAAAAGGGAGAGGGTGGACAGGTGGGCCACTGGAATCTCATTCCTGTGTCCTTTCAGGTGTGAAAAGTGGTAATAGACTGCAAGCATGGAAAGAAAAAAAAAGAAAAAAAAGAAAGGCCCCTAATATCTGATGTCTGTGTCCCCACCCCGTTCTTGCGAAGCCTTGAATCCGCCTTCTGTCATCAGGTGTGGGGTTTGAACAGAGTGTGCGCCTGACCTGGGAATAGGCCCAGGAGGAACATGAGGACATTGGCGTGGTGGGGAACATTTCAGTTTTTAACTTTTGGGTTTTATTGTTATGTATTTAATCCTCAGGACATACCATATTCTCAGCCTCCATCAAAGCCCATCCGAAGGAAATTCCGACCTGAAAACTCAGCTACAGAAAACCAAGAGCCTTCTAGCACTGTTGGCGGGCCAGCGTCTGCAGCGACTGGGAAACCCCACACAGCAGTCCAAAAGTAAGTATAGCAGATCAGGGAGGTCAGCGACCACCTTTTCAATCTTTGTATGCGTGTACATGTAAATCTGTTTACATATATACTAGTGGCCATGGAAGGGTGTGATTTTGTGGCTGCAGTTTTGTCTTACTCCTCTCTCTGCTGGTACTACAGGCTCCCCGTCACCTAAAGAGACCTAAGCTACAGGACTTAACCTGAGCCAAGGGGCAAGCGAGCACAAAGCTGCGGCATTTTAGTTTGGTTTGATTTCCTTCCCTTCCTTCCTCCTCTTCCTCTCCTTCCCACCCCTCTTCCTTGTGCTGGCCTACATTTTCCTAGGAAGAAGACAGTGACAAAAATGGTGGTTTCCCCTCTTTGCCAGTCTTCATTTAGCAGTAATTGCACCTCAGATAAACCTCATTGGCTACGGTACTGCCAGTGCGGAAAGCTCCCTCTTTGCTTGTCTTATGTTCCCCCCCCACCCACCAGTGCAAATGGCTAGCTTCCTGACCCTAAGCCCCAACTTTGAGTAGATGTGGCTTGTGATTTCTTTTCATGCCCCATGAAAATTTTCTGTTGTTGATCATGTCAGCACAGAATGGTCACATGTGGAGCTTCCAGAGTCTCTGTCTGACTGGCTGTAGCAGACATTGGAGGAGGTGGTGCGGGTGGGGGCGGTGATACCTGTGGACAAGGCCAGGAACTGAGAGAACAATGCTCTGGACAGACTGTTTTTTCTCCAGAGGCTTTGGCTTTAAGAAAGGCTGTCGCTTGCCTCAGTTTCCCTGTAGTGAAATTGAGCTAGGTGTTGAGGGCAGAAACCCGCTGCTGTGCGTGACTTCACAAGTGAACTAACATCACTCGTCACTAACATCCCTGCTCAAGATAAGCCCTGACACTGCTCTTGGGGCTTTGTCGATCCCAGAGCAAGATTCTGTGGGTGCAGCTTGCCTCGGAAGCCAAAACCCCATGGGGAATCTGTGCAGCACTCTTCAGATGATGGTTTTTGTGTCTGTTTTTCCAAATAGACAGTTCCCTAGTGGTATCAGTGCATAAAGGAAATCTGTTTTGTCCTTAATGGCCCCTGAGAGCTTGGACCATCTTTCAGCCACTGTCAGGCCTGGGGGCTGGATCCCTATCAGGGACAAAGATGGCTAAACTTGTTTTCATGAGCCACCCTGGCTTTGCAGTGTAATCCCTGCTTCACATTACTGCTGGTGTCCGTGGCAGCTCCAGCACCCCCCACACTGGATGGACGGCAGCTGGCGGAGCTCACCCAGAGGTCTTTTTCAGTTTCTTTCCTTTGTCTGTGGGGTTTTTAAAGACAGTTTTATTGAGATATAATTCACATAGCATACATTTCACCCTTTTATGTGTACAGTTCAGTGGTTTTTAGTGTATCTACAAAGTTGTAAAACTGTTGCCACAAACTAATTTTAGAATATTTTTATTGCCCCCCAAAGAAATTCCATGCTGATCAGGAGTCACTTTCCATTTCCTGTCCCATGTGCCAGGCAACCACTAATCTACTTTCTGTCTTTATAGGTTTGCCTGTTCCGGCCATTTCATGTGGATGGAACCATGCAACATGTGGTCTTCTGTGGCTGACTTTTTTTCAGTTCACATAATGTGTTCAAGGTTTATCCATGTTTTTGCTAAAATCAGTACTTGGTTCTTTTTATTGCTAAATAATGTCCTATTGTATAGCTATACCACATTTTATTTACCCGCTCATCACTTGATGGACATTTGGGTTGGTTCCACTTTGAAGCTGTAAAGAATAATGCTGATCTACTATGGGTGGACAAGTTTTAGTATGGACTTGTGATTTCATTTGTCTTGAGTATGTACCTAGGAGTGGAATTGCTAGGTCATATGGTCACTCTGTATTTAGTATTTTGAGGACTTGCCAAACTCTTTTTCCACAGCGGCTGCAGTATTTTACTGTCTTATCAGTAACATACAAGAGTTCTAATTTCTCCTGTTGTTTTTTTTTTTTCCCAACACTTGTTATCTTTAAAAAAAAAATGATTACAGCCATCCTAGTGGATGTGAAGGGGTATTTCACTGTGTTTTTGATTTGCATTTCCCTAATGGCTAATGATATTGAGTATCTTTTCATGTGCTTATTGGCCATTTGTTTATCTTCTTTGGGGAAATGTCTGCTCAGATCCTTTGCCCTTTTCTGCTTGGGTTATTTATCTTTTTATTTTGAGTTATGAGTTCTTGACCTATGCTGGATGCAAGTCCCTTCCCAGATGTATGATTTACAAGTATTTTCTCCCATTCTATACGTTGTTGTTTCACTTTCTTGATGCTGTCATTCGCAGCATATTAAAGACTTTTTTCCTGCATTTGCTTCTATAGGTTTTTATAGTTTTAGCTCTTACATTGAAACCCATGGTTAATTTTGAGTTCATGTTTGTGTATAGTGTGAGGAAGGGGCCCAACTTCATTCTTTTGCATATAGATACACATTTGTCCCCGCATCATTTGTTGAAAGGAGATACTTTCTTTGATCTGCCTGGCTAGTGACAGTCCCTCATTGTGATGCTCTCTCACTGATTAGGTGAGCGCATGGTGTCCGACTGAGAGAGGCTAGCTACCACAGCAGCCCAAACAGTGCTGTAAATGTCAAGGATGTAAGCTTTGGGTCAGGGAATTCCATACAGCTTATTTTGCTAGACTAGTTTATTTTGGGGTAGTAAGAAGCAGCTTAACATTCATCTTTTTTTAAGCCCTGGATAGAGAAACAGCTAGACCCATGATGGTTAGTCTGTATAGTTCTTTCTCAACCAGGCTTCTGGGAAAGAATGAAACTCTGATGCCCTTAGACATCCATTGTCTGTAGGAACTTAACCTCTCTCCTATGCATGTAGAGTGGTCTTTACTGTGAATGGTTTTGGGGAAAATTGGGAAAAGAGTCATAAATAATGTTCTTAATTGTCTAACAGAACAGTGGTTAAAAAAGGCCAAAAAAATAAACTAGTTGTAAAATGGTCATCACCTTTTTGGGAAATGAATGTCAGAATTGACCTGTCGTAAGAAGCAAATTCTCCTTCAGATATCATCATTGTCTATTTCATTTAGGGCAAAGGAAAAATGAAATAGTCTCTCCAAGTGAGCTGCTGAGTCCAGATATGACTAATAAACAACTCTTGGATTGTGTCAAAATTACTGAGCTGCTTGTAAGGACAAAAGTGTTTTTTTTTAAAGAAATAATTTGGCTTACTTGGTTTTCCCTCACATCTTGTGCATCTAGTAAAGATGGACTTTGGGAAAATAAAATGGTTTGAAGAGTTTGGAGAGAGAGGATATTGTATAACAGTACTGTGAAACTGTGCCCGCCTCCATGGCTTTGCTCTTCTCTGTAAGCTCCGGAAGTGTCCTGGACCACCCCAGGGCATGCCCAGCAGCTGGTGTGGCAGTGTCTGCTTGCCTGCGTGACATTCTCAGTGTGGTTGGGGTTCTGTTTTCCCTCCTGCTTCATGGTTGGCCGTCCTGGCATGTCCGTGGGGTCGATGAGTGGCATCCCTAATGAAAACCTGCCATTTCCAAGGAGACAAAAGGCAATACAAGTTCAGTTCTTAGAAGCTGTGCTCATAATTCCTTGGGAGAAATCAGGGCTCAGTTGGAAGGCTAAGAAGATTTTTCTCATCTAGAGACCCCAGCTTATATTCTTTCAAATATTGGTTTAGCTGTTTGAATGAAACCCAGTTAACAGGCACTCAGATAACATAGAAATTGACTTCTTTCTTGTCTAAACGTCTGAGTTGGTGAGTGGTCCCGAAGCATAGAGTAGCTCTGTGCAGGAACCCAGGTACCTTCCCATATTCTTATTCTATTTTTTTTCAAGATTTTATTTATTTATTTGACAGAGAGATCATAAGTAGTCAGAGAATAGGGAGAGACAGAGGGGGAAGCAGGCTCCCTGCCAAGCAGAGAGCTCGATGTAGGGCTTGATCCCAGGACCCCAAGATCATGACCTGAGCCGAAGGCAGAGGCTTAACCCACTGAGCCACCCAGGTGCCCCCCATATTCTTATTCTAGATCCCCGTGGGGGTTGTCTTTATCCCCGTGGTTGAAGATGGCTGCCTAACATGTTCACATTTCAGGCCCCAGAGAGGGGGAAGGAACAAATGGAGAGAAAACAGACTACTTTGAAGGGTATGACTCAGAAGTGGCATCTCTGATCCCATTGGCCCAAACGTAGTCATATGGCCTTACCTACCTACAAGAGAGATTGGGAAATGTAGCTTCTAGTTGGAGGGCCATGTGCCTCACTCAAACTGAGAATGATATGCTACTGCAGATACGAAGGCATAGGAGTAGGTTTTGGAGGATAATCTGCCACAAAACTTTGAGTGGACAGTGCTTCACGATGCTGCTGTTCTGGATTGATAAATAGCATGACACACAATAGAACCAGACAAAATAAATATCTGTTTAAGCGTTACTCCTTCACTTTCCTCCCTGGAAACCAGAGCAGTTCCAGAGAAGCCTGGAAGAGTGAGTAAAAATATTAAGAGAACCTGGAGAGACTGTGGAAGCAACTGTTAAGAGGGTGAGGCAGGTTAAATGCTCTGCTGACCCCTTCAGAGGTATTCTGGGCTTGATCCTATCTTTATGTTATTTAGGGCTCCTTTGGTAGCAAATAATAAAAGGCAACTCGAGGTAGCAAAAGATACTCTTTATTATAAGGGTATGGGTGTGACTCAGGGAAATCAGTGGCAGGAGTGGATCAGAAGAGAACATTGCAAACCTTCTGGGGCTCATTTTGATGCCTCTCAGTTTTCGTAAGGTGTTTTTGACATTTTTATCTGTAAAGACTCCTCACCTTCAGCTCCAGAGATCCCATTCTCACTGTGCGGGCCCAGGCTGAACTAAACTATTAGCCATAACTCAAGTCCTTTGGAGGGAGAGTCTGGTCAGCTCAGCATGGGCAGCATCCATTCAAGTGTCAAAATCGAGGGCAAGGTTTTCTCGAGACAAAAAGAACTGCCTGCCAGGGGCTCATCCTT